GATTACTCTGAACCAAATGTTGGAATCAAATATCTACTAGTAAGATTCTAATAAAAAATTTATGGATTCTCTTGAATCAAACGTCACCTTAGTGTTTTTATGCAATATTCTTTGTATATATTATCACTTTTGGTTTACGGGATAAATTTTTAATATTCAACAACTAGTATCAAAGCTACAAGGCTGAAGTTTTGTCACAGGTGATACTATTAAAGTATAAGACACTATCCATGTATATGGTATTGTTCACATTTACAAAAATTTAATGGTATGGATAAATAAGATTCTAGAAGTTTTATCTAGGAAGATTCAGTTTTAAGTAGGACCAATTGTGACCCCTTTAATATTTCCTAAGAACCTATCTAGTGAGAGTATTATTCACAAGAGACTATATTTCATATACTTTACAATCCGTAATTTCGTGATTTAAAAGCAATGGCCAGCAAAAGAGGTGTAGCACATGAAATCAGCAAATTTGATAAAAATAGACTTTTTTTTTTAAGAATGCAAATGAAAGATTATCTATTCGGTAAAAAGTTGCAATTACCATTTCTAGGTACGAAACTAAAAAATATGTTAGACGAATATTGAAAATTCATTGACAAACTAGTATTAGGAGTTATTCAACTAAAATTATCAAAGAACGTAGCTCACAATATAGCCAAAGAGACATTGACAGTTGATTTGATGAAGGTGTTCTCTAATATGTATGAAAAACCTATTGTAAACAATAAGGTTTTTCTTATGAAAAAACTATTCCATTTGAAAATGGCAGAAGGTGCTTCAGAGGCATTACATCTCAATAAGTTCAATATAATTGTTAATTAATTGACTTTCATTGAAATTGATTTTACTAATGAGATTTGTTCTCTAATTATTTTGACATCCTTACTAAACAATTGGGAACCCATTAGGGCAATAGTTAGTAATTCTATTGGTATTACAAAATTAAAATTCAATGATGTCAAAGATTGAATTCTTACTAAAAAAATTCACATAAATGACTCGAGTAAAGTGACAACATCAGGTTCTGCCTTAAATCTTGAGAATAGAGGTAGAACAAATAGTAAAAATTCTAACCGAAATAGAGGAAGATCAAAGTCCAAAAACAGAAAAAGTAATTCTAAAATTGAACGAAATATGGAATATTAGAATTGTGAAAAAATAGGTCACATAAAAAAATAATGTTAGGCCAAAAAAAAAAAACAAAAGAAATGTTACAAATGCTGTCATTGAAAAGATGAATGACGTATTGCTCTTATCTATTGATAGCCCAGTTGACTCTTGGGTTTTAGACTTTGGAACATCTTTTCATATCACTACTTACCACAACATGATGAAAAATTATGTTGTTGGAAACTATGAAAAGGTTTATCTAGCTAACGAAGAACTTTTGGATATTGTTGGTATAGGTGACATTCGTTTAAAGATGCTGAACGGGTCTATGTTGGAGATTTAAAAAATGAGGCATTTATTAAAGTTGATACGTTACCTGATCTTGGTAGGACAGCTTAATGATGAAGGACATAATGTAACATTCATAAGTAAGATTTCCCAAATTATAGATTCCGAAATGAAAAAGCCAAAGGTAATTCATTCGAAAAGCTTTCCAATGAATAATTTACAGTAAAATGCACGAGAAACTCAAGCAGACACACCTGTAGAAGAACATGAAAATATAATCATAGATGTCAATAAATCCATTCTAGTATTAGAACTCAAAATATCTGCAAAGACAACCAGGTCACTATAGAGATTTTTTTCCTTGTTAAATTACATTTTTTTAACTAATAAAGGTAAATCGGGATGTTATGAAGAAGCAATATAAGTTAATGATTTAATGAAATAGGAGCTAACCATAAAAGATGAGATGGATTCATTGAAGTCGAACCAAACATGATAGTTAGTAGAACTTCCAGCAGGAAAGAAAGCATTATAGAATAAATGGGTTTACCATATAAAAGAAAAACAAGATTGTAGCAAATATAAAGCAATGCTAGTGATAAAAAGCTTTCAACAAAACAAAGGTATTGATTACACCAAGATTTTCTCTTCAGTGGTTATATTAACCATAATCAAAATTATGCTTAGGCTAGTGGCAAAAGAAGATATGCATTTACGATAGATGGACGTAAAAATAGCTTTTCTTTATGGTGACCTAGAAAAAGAGATCTACATGCAGCAACCACAAGGTTTTGAGATTCAAAGAAAAATAAAAAGGTGTTCAAGCTTTCGAAAAGCTTATATGATCTAAAACAAGCTCCCATACAATGATATAAGAAGTTGACAACTTTATGTGCAACAATGGTTTTTTGAGATGTCAAGCATATCATTGTTTTTATATCAAAAAGTTTGATGACTTTTACATTATACTTTTGTTGTATGTCGATTATATGTTGATTGCTAGACCAAGCATACAAGAAATTAAAAAGTTGAAAAATAAGCTCTTAGAGAAATTTTCAATGAAGGATTTAGGCTTTGTAAAACAAATCCTTGGAATAAGAATCACAAACAAATAGATAAATCCTTAAGCTATCACAGAAGAATATATAAATAAGGTGCTTTATAGATTCAACATGGATGAAGCAAAACCTCTAAGCACTTCTCTAGCTAGTCATTTCAAATTGTCCAAAAATCAGTCACATCACAAAAGAGCAAGAAAAAGCCTACATGGCCAAAGTGCCTTATGCCTTTGCTATTGGTAGTCTTATGTATGTTATGGTGTGTACCAGATCAGATATAGCACATGCTGTGAGAGTTGTGAGCAGATATATGAGTAATCCAAAAAAGCAACATTATGAGGCAATTAAGTGGATTCTTAGATTCCTAAAAGGTATAACAAATCTAGCTTTGTGTTTCAATAAATCAGACTTGGAATTGAATTGTTATGTTGATATTGACATGACTAACGATATAGAAAATAGAAAGAGTACCACTAGTTATGTTTACACATTGGGTGATACAATAATGAGTTAGGTTTCAAAGTTGCAAAATATAGTTACATGTTCTTCTACTAAAGCAGAATATGTTGCAATGATCGAGGCTAGTAAAGAAATGATATGGTTGCAATCTTTCTTGGATGAACTTGGTCACAAGTTTGATAGAAATGTATTGCATTGTAACAGTCAGAGTGCCATTCATTTGGCAAAAAATCCTATCTATCATGCTAGGACAAAGCAGATATAGGTTTGATATCACTTCACAAGATCAACTTTAAAAAATGGTGTCTTAGTACTTAAGAAGATTCAAGGGAATCAAAATTCAATTGATATATTAACAAAGACTGTAACAACCAAGAAACTGAAATTGTATGCAACTTTAGTTAAACTTCTTTTCTAAAGAATGAGAAGTTGTGACCATTGCAGAAGAGAGAATTGATAAAGAATTAGTCTCTAAGTGAAAGATTTTTAGAAAATGTTAAGATAAATTCAACTTTCATTTATTATTAGAGATGAAAATTATTTGTTATAACTCTTACTATTAATTATAAATTATTAGTAAGAGTTAAGTGAAAGTTGATTGATAGAAGTTGTAATTAATAGAGGGTTGAAACTCCATATATAAAAAAAGGCTTTGGCTTGTGTAGTAGTGTGTAAGTATCAAATGAGGAAATGAGAATTAAGAGAAAGAAGAGATAAAGTTAGAGAGCTAGTGCAAAATATAAAAAGTAAAAGATAGTTCTTCTCCTTTGTAATATAGTTCTTCTCCTTTGTAATTTTTCATATTCGTCATATTAAAATTTTTGCAATGGTTTTAAAAGTGAACATAACTCTCATATTAAAGGTGAACTATTATAAATTTTTGGTGTTTCTATACAATATTCTTTACAGATATTAACTTTTGCTTTGCAAGATAAGTTTTTAATCCCCAACAAATAGGAGACTTAATATGGAAACAAGTTACCTCATGATCAGGCTTAAACTTAACCTTCAAGTCACCATAGAAAGAACAGATACTTGAGTTGAGTGTATTCAAAATAAAAGTGGTTCGTTCATTCATTAATTTTAAATCGAAACTAGATAGGCTATTAGCCAACCATCTGTATTGAATGCTTTGCGGGTCCTTTTAGTACCAAAGCTGACAATATGTGAACCCAGCTGCGTATGGTTTCTTGAATTGAATTGGCTGAACTGTGAACTTGATGCTGAAACAGCAGAAGCAGCTGACTATGACCTCGTACAATTGGACAATGGGGACCAATCTTCACGATAACGTACGAAATGTGGTCCTATTTTTTTTTATGATGGAAGTAGTCACAGGGGCATGAGGGCTAGGTTCCCACTAAGCTGCGAACCCGTTGGCTAACACCAAAATGCAATGCGAAAACAATTGGAAAAAGAGAGGGAAGAATATATAGGATGCTAAGGACATATGATAGTCGAGGGGGGTCGTCCAATAGGCGTTGAAGCTTAATGGGTTCCCTCTAATCTTAACTCATTGGACCATGTACGGCGGTTTTAACCTTTTCACCCTTTCACCTTTAATTACAATAATACAACTTTTAGATGTATGCCAGCAAACTATCCCCCTTTCAGGAAAAAGGACTGTCATTTAATAAAGAGAAACTTCAATTTCATCCTGGGAAAAAAAAAAAACTTTAGGCATATGCAGTGGAGAACAAGTCAAGAACAAAAATTTAGATGGATATATCTGTCTTTGCCACAGTTTTTGTCACTAATGGATTTGGAAACCAGCTGAATTTCTAGCTCTGTGATTGGAGCAGAAACCAGCCGCCTTGGAAAATATGAAGAAAATTTTATAGTTTTCTCTTTATTTCTTTTTCTTTGGTTCAATGAGGATGATGTTTTTCACTCATGTGACAATATTTTATCGTGTAGCAAAGTAGTATGTTTCTGCATTAAAAGGTAAAGAAAAAATGGAGAGGGGGTGGTACCATATAATCTTGATTGTGAGTGAAGTTCTGTAAATTTTTTTTTGGTCTGAACAGCTATGATTTTAAGCCCTTGGGAGCTAAATTTTTTTTTAGCTTTCATCCTTTCACTGTTGAGCTTATGCTGACAGGGATAGAAATGGAACTTTGTGGTCCTCACTCCACACACATGATTCTCCTTTCTTTTTTTCTCCTTATCTCTGGGTCTTTTTTATTCTTCTTCTTTGTTGTTGAAACCTCTTCATTTCATTCATCTCCTTAATTGTTTTCTCTTGTTTTCTGACCAAACCAAAAAATGGCAACAAGCAAAGCTGATGGGAAGAGGAGCCTGAAGGAAATGACGGAGGATGAAGAAGAGGATGAGGATGAAGATAGTACTGGTGCTATAGGGTTTGGAGATGATGAAAAGAAGAAGAAAGGCAAGAGAGAATCTAGTGCGGTGAGAACACTGCCTGGTTGTCAGGTCGAGAATTGCACTGCTGATATGACCGATGCCAAGAGGTACCACAGGCGCCACAAGGTCTGTGAGATCCATGCCAAGGCTGCGATGGTTCCAGTCGCTGGACTCCATCAACGCTTCTGCCAACAATGTAGCAGGTTTGACTTCTTAAACCCTAATTTTTCCTTCCATATTTTACAAACATTTGTGTCTTCTTTTATTGACGTTTGAATCTATGACTTCCTGTTAATATTGTCTTGAACTTTTATCAAATTCCCATAACCTCAAATATATATATATATATAATAAAAAAGAAATTTGAACTTGAACAAATATGAAATGCTATTAGTTTCCACATATCAGATTAAATTCAAATTTGTGTTTTTTCTATTTCCAATCTTTTTTTTTTTTTTTTTCAAAATTAACGTTATACAGGCGAAGTCGCATGATAAACAATTACCAAAAAATAGAGAAATGAGCTGGATATCATGCAATTATTGTGAAACATTATAGATACATCATACATCACAAGGGGTATACCAAGAACCCCACTTCTAATTTCATTATTAGTACTATATAGTAATAATGTTATCTTCTTCAAAAAAGCAAAAGTAATAATGTTATCTCAAGTGTTTATCATATAGACATTAATCCTCGTATAGTGATCCACTTAGGACAACTACCATAGAATCATTAAGGAACATTTCGGATTAATGTCTAAATGGAAAGAGGGTGAACTGAGGGTTTTTAAATTTCATATTGAATATTGATAAAAGTGATCCATCCTTTTTAATTAGTAGTACTGTTAGCAGTGCCCAATGAATCCATTAAATATTGATTGGTACGTTTTGTTTCTCAGAGGGTCTCCCTCATAATTTTGATGAAACACCAATCAAGATCACTGATTCATCATAGCAGACTCATGGTAAGCTGAAGATGTAGATTACAAAAACCTCTCAATAGTCCTTACCCTGTACAAATCATGTGCCTTGAAATGCCATTGAAGGAAGATGTTTAATTTCCTTGGTTCGTCCAGGATTATTTTCTGCACACTTTTACTTGCCAAGTATTAACTGCAGGCACCCCCCCCCCCCCCCCACCCAACCCTTCTCAAAGCCTTGGACTTTATTCTTGTGCTATTTACAGATGGCTATATCAAAAAGGTTAGACTTTACATGCCTGCATGGCCAGTGGCCGTACTTGAATTCATGATGCTACTTGAAAATAACTTAATCTTAAGAGTTTAGACCAGGAAAAAAAGGGAGAATTGCATTTCATTTCTTTTTGAGACTTCATTTTCATCTCTTTAAAATGATGATGATGATGGATGATATGCAGGTTTCATGAGTTATCAGAGTTCGATGAAGGAAAAAGGAGTTGTCGAAGGCGATTGGCTGGACACAATGAGCGGCGCCGGAAAAGCTCATCTGAATATCATGGAGAAGGCTCAAATTATTAACCAGCTAGAAGCCAAGCGGAAGATATATTTAAAAAAAAAAAAGTCATCTTAACTCTCCAATTATGCTATATATAGAAGGCCTTTTTCCAATTCTCATGAAAAATCAATTTAGATGTAACAATATGGATCCTAAGCATGCTCTCTCTCTTCTGTCAATCTTAACCCCTAAATCATTAACTGCTTCATGCTCTACCTCCTATTATCTGCATGAAAGTGAATCTATCTTTATCTACATAGCTTTGTTTATATGCTTCTTGTTTCGATTTATAATCCATGCATTTCTAAAATGGCCGTTCGTTCATATTTCTATGAGAACATGACATTACGGTTGATCTTTATTGGCTGAATCGAGAGAGTTTGGCAACAAATCTGGATAGAAGAAACGATTCCCAAGCCCCAAAAGCCACGCATGAAAACTGAGTTTTTTTTTTTTTTTTTGTTATATTGGATTAATATTCATTTTATTCAACCTTAACCGTCAAACAAGTTTAATTATTCATCAAAAAGCACTTTGTTTGCCAACATCGTCGCTGCAATTTGTCTTTTCTGACGTGTTGATTCAAGTTGCTTTCCCAGTGCCATGTGCCAAAGTTTTACACGTTTTTTATTAAATTTAGGAACTCGCTTTAATAACCTCAATAAGGATTTGTTGGATTTTTTCATCGTGAGAAATATGAGATGTGAGATCCCATAATCACTTGAATATCCAGACAAATCCATTTACTAGAACTGAAAACTATAAAGACAAAAAAGAAACTAACATAGGTACTGAATCTTGTTTTCACAATTCTGTATTTTAGCAAATTTTGTAGAATTCCAATTCCTTTTCATTTTTTTTTTTTTTTTTGGTTTCCTTCAACCTCCATATAAACACCGGCCCTTCTACCTGAAAGGAAGGAAAAACTCGGCCTCAACTGCTCTAACATCGAAACCACAAGATTTGACTGGCTAAACTAGTTATTCTTTATCTAGCTCAAGACCAAATGGAATGAACAAAATTAAATTTGGAACCATTGGATGATGGACACTACCTATATATTCACATTTATTTTTCCTGTATCAATGCACAGCAGAACTCAGAGTCTCAAAAACTTCTGTCACAGAGGTAAGGGAGGACAGAAGGTAGAGAACAAGTGGAGAAGGTGAGGTTGGTATCAGGAACAGTGTACAACCTTAAGCAATTCAATGGCCACCAGACGGCAGTAGCCAATCAATAAAAGTAAAACATATAGCACTCCCTAACACAAATTTGTCCAATGATCATTCTACAGAGTTTATAAATTTTAAGGTTTAACCATCAGTTCCTTGGTTTGGATTAAGGAGCATCCTCAACCAGACAACAATACACTTGTGAAATCCTTGCTACACTGCTAATAGAAAGACAAGAAGAACCCACAAGGAAAAGAATTGGGATAACTTAATGAAAGGCCTCCATTGTTTCAGCCTCTCAAATATTGCATTATTGCATAAACAAGTGAAAGCACCCTTTCTTCTAAAACTCAAGCTTCAAGATCATATCAATAAAACCCAAGGATCAGCGTATGCTTAGATGTTGGCAGTAAAGATCAGCTACCAAGGTAAATATAACATCAAGTTAGAAGCCAATTAGATGAATTAATTAACTTCCTTAGTCGTTCTTGATTCCGAGAAGCTTCATGGCTAGCTCCCAGGTGACTATTGCAGCTGCATTAGCAGGAAAAGCTCTCACTATTGTAGGACCCAGGCCTGCATAGCATCCTCTAAGTCCAGCCCTCCTGTAAATCTGTGAAGCAAGGAATAATTAGACTACCCTCATTTTCTTTCAATATCATTTTGAGCTTTACAGAACCTCCACTATGCTGCCATCCATCTTCTAGTTCCAGGAAAGGGTAATTCCACTACCATAATATATGAGGGAATCAGATAGTCTTACCGAATTTAAAACTTGAAAAGGATGTGTTGGAGAGCTTTTATATGGAGCAGTCTGAATAATGGTTTTTGCAACATCCAAAGGTAAAACAGCTGACCAAAACTGAAGAAAAAACAAGAGAATAGAAGTAATTTTGAAAAGACCATATGGTAACCCAAATTAAAAATTAGAAATGCAAGGATGTCAGAACACTTACAGCTACACCACCCAGACCACCACTCAAAATTCCAATTCCCATATCAGTCAACTGGCTATGGTAAGATGAACCAGTGTTTAAGTGCATATAATAGCGGACATATTCATATACACTAAAAAAGACAGCATTTCCAAGAGATTCTCTTAACAATGTTGTAGAGCCCCCACGAAAGATGCCTGTAACCTGAAAGGTATTAGATTAGCTTAAACTCATGATGTATTAAGTTGCCAGAAAGCAGTATATGTCTCACCCCATCACTTTTTATGGTTTTAAGTGCACAATCAAGAGGACTACTGTAGCTACTGGACTTTGGGACCAAGGAATCAGTACCTTGGACTTGCATCCTACACTGGAGAAGCCCAATGTCACAAGCATGCTTTGGGGAAAAAAAAAGTGATCATAGAGCAAATAATAGCACAATGTAAAAACTAATCCCTTGCCTTCACTAACTCTGATGGACATAGAACAAAACTGATAATAGCTCCACCAAAAGCAGCAGAAGGAATTATTACTTGGGGCTGCGGCCCACTACTCTGAACTCCTCCCTTCATTAGCCAAAAGAATTAAAAATTAATTAGAAATGTTAGCCTGTATTAGAAACATGGCATGTTGAAAGAAACGTGCCTACAATGTTATTAAAGCTACTGGTTTCCAATCTTGTATTGGCAGTAGTAGTTTCATGGATAAGGTATGATCACCTCCAATTTCCTTTAATACGAACCTGCAGTAACTGTTTTGTTTGTGAATAAACGCCAAAAAGAAGCGAACTTTCAAAAGCCATTCCAACAAAAGATGATGTTGCCCCTGTATAAAGTCCTCTAACCTGCCAAAGCTAACTGTGAGTTCTCTAGAAATATCAATATGTCAAGAGTAAGGGAAAGGGAACAACCATGCATAAGAGATGCTAAGATTTATGGATTGTTACAGGAGTTGACTGCCGCAAAAAATGAATCCATGGTTTTTATATTCCCCAAACTACATTGTATGGTCTGAATTATCCTCTCACTTTATGTACTAGGCCAAAATCTTGGTTTTAGAATTGCACCTATAGATACTGCAACGCTCTTAAGAACTTTTATTTATTTCTTTTCCATATTGGACAGATAAAATCTTGCAAATTCTTTCTATCTTCACAAATTCCTGGATAAATTCAAAAACTTTGTTCAATATTTGCCTCCAATGATTATCAACAGTTTTAGATTTTAGGAGATCAGCAGACAATATCCACTATGGGAATTAAAGTTCAAGAAAAACCAAAAACTAGAAACAAATAACATGACCACATTCCATCACATGAATTTCTTTAGATGTCTAAAGGATAACTTTAAATGAATAGGGTTCTTGATAGGGGATAGAAAAGAAAGGCTCAAGAAGCATACCCCTTCAGTTGCAAGTATCCTAGCAGTGCAATGCAAGCCATTCCTGTATTTAATCCCTTGCACTTCAGTATTGTGTTTCTGCAACTTCACCTGACCAAGGAACGACAGATAAAAACGACATTTACTAGTGCAGCATTGACAAGAAAACCCTTAAAAGAATCTAATCTACACTCAAATGATTCCAAAAGTTACTTAAAATCTTTTTCCCAAGCTTTCAATTAAACAATTGACCCACATTCCTAGAAATCCCAACCACCCATTTAAATTATCAAAAGCATATCTTTACTGGGAGATTGAACAAAATCATTGGTAAACTCAACAAGCATAATTCCTCGAAACTTGTCCAGACCCATATCTAAAAATGCTTTATCTTTTCATCAAACAAAAGCAAAAAAAAAGAAGAAGGCAAGAAGTTATACCTTGACAGTATCGAAGGGGTGACCGATTACGACGGTGGCAACACCAGCGAGCAAGCCCGCAACGTACTCTTTGTAACCGGAAGGTTTGGTGGAAGACTCTCCCATCTCTCTAAAGCCCCTTTTTTAGTTTGAAAGTAAAAGGAACATGGGAGAGAGATTGGTCCAATCCGTGCCGGATCGTTGATTGCGAGAAAGACAGGGAGTTGTTACTTACACCTCCCCCGCAATCTCTGTACAAGTACCAGGAATCTTGGACTAGGACTACTTAACTAGTAGGAATTAGTAACTAAATGGTATCACTTTTTTTTTTCTTCCTTTGTTGTTCAAAAAAATTAATTAATTAAGGCTTTTATTTTTAGGTTTTTACATTGAAAAAAAACCCTCAAATTTGGAAATTTTTTCTTTTAAAATATTTATTTTTTAAAAAATACTAATAACACTGACTATTGAGTGCTAACTGAAGTTTCATATGAATAAAAATTTAATTTTAAAACGACGTAATAATTTGATAAAAAAACTTTCATCAACCATTAAATGAAAATTGAATAATTTGTAATTATGATTTATACATATTTACTGATCATCGAGCTCTTGTACAAAAGCAATTGAGTAGTGAACGAGGAATTATTTATGAATTTTAATTTTAAATGTTTTGCGAATCTTTTCTCCTTTTATTTTATTTTATTTTAATGTAATACTTGACGAATCTTTTTCTAATTTAATAAAAGTAAGTTGTTAACAATATGCCAAATTGTGCACTTTCTAATTTTAACTTCCATCTCAACTAATCACCTTCACCCACATGTCTGTCTGTCTGCCAGTCCTCATTTTCTTCAGAAGAGATAAATTAGGCTTCACGGGCATGATGAGCCTAACAACCTCAAATCAAAGCAACCCGTAAATAGATTCGCTGTCTCTAGCAAACACTGTTCAATGAACTGGTAAATGTTAATGTTCAAGTTCAAGCTTAGCAACATCACTAACCAAAGATTCAATTGAAATATGAAAGAAAATACAAATCTTATTACTTTGTTGGGTCAGGCAAACATGGCTTAATATTATTCCATGTCGAATGCTGTTAATCCAAACATTACAGGAAGAAATGAAATTCGAAAAGACCCTTAATAAACACAACTATTTTACTTAATTTTATTTTAATAACATTGACAAATGAAATTTACAAATGAGTGGATTTCTCGGTACTTCCCCCAAAACCCATTGTTTATATGATCCACAAAGCCAATTCAGGCAAACGGGAGTCATCATAACATGGGTGTTTGGAACTTGATGCTGCATATTCTGGGGGATAATCTTTTTTTGATACAGCACAAGAAAAATGCCAAAGGTCATAACTTACTAGGAAGAATCTCATTGGGGAGTCTTTCCACTTTGCCAGATTGAGCTGAACTCTTCAACAATTTGCTCCTTTCAGCTATGAATTTAGCAAACCGAGAACCCTTCCCCTCTTTGTTGTTGTTATCTTCTGGTAGCGGCTGTGGAAGATTAGGCAGAGGCCCTGGCTTGGGAGATAATGGAGGCATCAATGCCCATACTGAAGAAAGGTGTTCATTTGGAAGGTCAAGATTTTGCAGAGGCGAAAAGTCTTTCATGTCTGTTGAAGAAAAACAAAAGTAATATAGAAATTTATCTAGAGAAACTCCAAATTCTCTCCTTTTGATGCTCAGTACCACAAACAAGCAAAAATATAGATCTAAACAGAGCAGAAAGCACAGAAGGATTTACATAATCAATACCAAATTTTGCAGCCAAATAAGGAGGAAAAAAATGAAATTTCTTGATACTTAAGATAGTAATCATCACTATCATAACTAACTAACCTCTTGCAAACTGAAAGATAGGCATCAAAACTGCACTTGGAATGCTAAAGTTCAAATGGGGTATAACTGTCCCTCCACCATGCCTGGCATTGCTGTATCAAGAACATATCTCATTAAAAACCGTTTAATCAGCGAGCACCAAAGAGCTTAATAACTGACAAGAGAATAAAACAACAAAAAAACAAGGATTAGTCAAACAAAAACAAAGTAAAAATGCTGTCACAATCCTGTATAATAAGAAGCATTACTTCACCCACAAGGCCACAACAACAATAGCAACAAGAATATGCGAAGGAACATTTTTGACTAACCAATATGATGTCAAAGTAATATGACACACATATGAGAAATGCACAACAACTGAATAGCCCTAAGAGATAACTCATTTTTGCGCAATTGTTATCCACCATACCTTGTAACAAGTCCAATCAAACGACCATCAGAATTGACAACAGCACCACCACTTCCACCAGGATGAACAGCAGCAGTTGTTTCAAGCATTGCTGGAAATTGTGATACCCCTGGTAGAGCAGATTTATAATATAAGGGAGTCTCTGCTTTCACTACTTTTGCTACCACTCCAGAGCAAACAGAAGGGGAGAAGCCTGAAATATTCAACATGAAAACAGATTTTAAGTTTGAAACTCAACAGATTATGAAAAGTATTGATAAATTGTTTATTCAGTTGAAAGTACACACAAAACAATCCCAGGGGACTCAGTCCTTCAACATCATTGCATTAAGAAAATTCCATGCTCCTATATGCATCACATTAATAACGCAGTTGATCAGATAGGTAAGAAATTTTCAGGAGATACAGGATCACTGGGCAATGTAAGCTGACACATACGTGAAAGGGTGTACTTGACTTTATTTTGGTAAATGAGTAGTTTTAAGTGCTCTAACAAACAGAGATAAGATTGACTTTCTTTAAAACTAAACCATGGATACTTTTGATGGCATGATTGGAAACTTCAGATGTTAAAGTTCAACATAAACACTAAAAAAGTCCAAGACATAAAATGAAAAAAGCTCATGTTGTGCAAACACAGCAGAATTATCTCATTCCAAATGCATCAAAAATGGACAACAGCTTTACCACATCTTGGTGCCAGTAGTCCATGTCCAATAACATATGCATTTGATCCTAAGGATGGTTGAGCAAAATCCACCATAATGGGGCTAAGTTTATCAGGAATACAATCCAGTTGGAGCAGTGCAACATCCAGAGGTCCCTTGCAAATATATAATACCTTTGCCTCACACCAAATCCAAGGCTCCAGATGATCAAGTCGAACATGTACACTTCTATGGCCATGGTAAAGTGACTCCAGCTTGTATCTTTTCTGCTCATCAGCCACAGAAGAATTGACAATCTTCAGTGGAAATGGTTGCATGCTATTTTTCTGGTACCTGTCAAATCCTTCACCATCAGGAGATGCAGATTCTTCAGGTGGGAAGAATGTCACCCCGTTTTTAGTCCCACTTCTTACAGTTGTCCCAAATCGCCATGGTTCCAATAGGTGAGCATTTGTGAGTATTAGGCCTTGATCATTGAGCACAACACCTGATGCCCATACACCATCGTCAATGGTAATAAGACATATAGAAGCCATTGCCTTCTCAATCGATAATAGTGCAGGGCAACATGAGTTAGGATGATCATAATTGTAACAGCAGAGTCCATTTGAACCATTTCTGTTAGACAATAATCCATTCCCTACAGCATTTAAGTTTCCCTTGTTAATATGAATCCCCTTTTCTGCAATTTGTGGCTCCTTCAGCAGCAAGTCACTGCAAGCACTTGCAATGGCTTCCCACGGAATCACTAGCTGTTACCCAAGGCTACAATTTTTTGTGATGCATTAACTATGAGAAAGCTTAAAGAATATGAATATGAGAAATATTTGCAAGTTACCTGAATCTCAGCATCACTGTTCTTTTGCCTCAAGGGTCTAATCAAGATACCAACTAGTGTGTTTTGATCACCAAAAACTGGACCACCCTCCATTCCTGGCAAATTTGATGCAAAATCATAGTTAGGGCTCTGTGGTATAAAAATGCATAGTTAATAAAATATGGAAATATCTTCACCAGGGAGACATCGAATGTCAGCCAACAGCAATGCTCTGTCACATGATTTAGGTGGATAGCAGTTGGCAACAGATCCCACTGAGATGCTGCTTCAAGTGACTACATTAATTAAACAGTAGAACTCCAGAGAGAACATAAGCAAGCAAAATAATATACCATGTTGAGAGAAAGATAGAGAATTAGTGATAGTTTGATTCATTGATTGCAAAAGTTATATACACAAAAAAGATTAGTTCTATTTCATGTTCCACAAGGATCAGTGATCTCAGTATTTGGACTGATGAAAACTAATTTGGCAAACAAGTTGGCTGTTATCAATGTTAACTTATTAAAAGGTAAAAGATATTTACGTAGAGAAGAAGCATTACCTGTTAAAGAAGTGCACAGGAGAGAGGATGCCAAAAGGAGATCCCATTGCCAGAAGAAATTCTCCCCTTTTATTCAGAGGTGATGTCCCAATTTTAGGTAGACCCTGATTCATAACAATCCACAACATTAAGGTTTAAGGGCTAAAGCATGCAAAATAATCATACCAGCCAGAACATCTCGAAACATTTTCATTTGCTACTCCGGTTGCTATTGAACAGTATATATTAACAAAAAGGAAAGAGTAATAAGTGAAAGAAATGTTTACATTTAAATGCAAGTTAACTCCAAGTATAGCAATTCTAGTTGTTGATCTGGCCATAAGACTAGGATTGCTCAATTTCCCCTCCACTAGCGTCTGGCGCTCCATTAAAAGTTTGTTATCATACTCAATCTGAAATAAAGCTAAAACGTCAGATCTTATTTGATCTCAACAAGGGGCAAAAGGAAAAAATGCTTCCTCAAACATGAGCATAAAAGGAATCCAGGATCTATGGCAAAGGCAAACTAACAACATTTTATTGATTATTTTAATTCAAGTAAATATTTCTCTTCATAAAAGTTTTGCTTGCATACAACTGATCCCTGATAAACGCAATGAAAAGAAATTCACGCTTCTAAAGAATACAACGCTTCAGTGTCCAGAATTTCTCAAAACACCAAAAAATAGCCACTCAAAATACTGTAACACTTCTAATGGTCTCTAGTAATATAGCTCAACAAGTTTTAAATAGAGAGAGTAACATTTAGTTCACATAAAAGTTCCACAAAGCTGCTATGAGGCAAGTCTGACCAAAGAAATACAGTAAAAAAGAAGTTCGCTTCATACTTGCCTGCGTCTGAGTATTGTTCATTGAAGGCTGATGAGTTGAAGCCAATGACCAACCGACCTCCCATCCATGCTCTTGTGAGCCTGAAGAAGCTTCAACAAGGGATTGAAGAGCAAGGGATGATATAGGAACATCAACCTTCAAAATCCACTGATTAGTCGATATCAGAAATATATGCATTCAAATTATCAAGTGCAACAAAATTATAACCTAGTATTACTGTGCATTAAAGTGTTCTTACAGCTTTTAAGTCCATAAGTAGGCATATTAACAATTTATAAATGCTCACCATTTTCAGTAGCCGTGCTGTACACCAATGACAAGTTCCTTTATCCAAATTCACGCCCATATTTTCCTACCAAAAAAAAAAAAAAAACACTATCCCATTGAACTGAACTAAAAAAATTTACTTCAAAAAATTATCATTCCAACTTAATCAACAGCCATTGCATATCTTATACCTCAACCATAATATCGATCTGAGCACCGGGAATCAATTCAGGTAGACCCTAAATGAAAACAAGGAGCACAATATAAACTCAAAATCCCAATAAAGTAAGCAATTATACCCAAAAAAAAAAAAAAGTCAACGTTACTACCTGGGCAAGGTTTTCTCTATGTTGAATTGTAAGAAAAGGCTCAACCACAGAAGCAACTGACATAACTAGCATCAAATTCTGACCACTATCACTGTCCCAAATGCACTTAGCCACCTCAGTGTTGTAAAGGATGTCAGGTAATAGCATGCCTGAAGCTGACAGTGTCGTTTTGCCAGAACTACAATACCCAAAAACGGAAGAAAAAAAATTGACTCAACAAATTGAAAAGGAAAAACAAAAATATAATGAAATTGGAAACAAATTTTAACTCACTGGTATTGGTGAAAGGCATGTTTCCTCATCTTCAGCCCCTTTGGATCCTACACAAATTTTTGAAAAGCAAAAATAAATTTAATAAACATCCCAAAAAAAAAAAAAAAAACGGTTGCAAAGGTAAATGGGCTTACAGGGCCTTGGACTCTGACCAAAACAGAGAAATTCCGGGCAAAATCGACTGTTTCAGGGAGACCCATTTGGATAAAAATTTTAAAATAATTAATCAGATGAATTCCTAGAGATATAAATAAAGGGTTTTGGGAATCTTGGATTCTTTCTTTCTTCTTTTTTATTTTCTAAGGTTTTCGTTGGGATGAAGCGTGCAGGGATGATGAAAAACAGCGAAACAGAAACTAGCTCGGGATATTTTTGACTTTCCCAGCTTTACGCTTTACGAGTGGGTAGATAAGATGTGACCGTTAAAGCGCGGGCTGTTCTATCTTGTAAACCATGGCCGTGGGATCTATTGCTGGGCCCGATCATTCTCATCTTGCTTACGTGGACGGCTGATTCGTGTTTTTGGTTTTTACTGTATCAATGGTTAGTAAATGTTTCTTTTTTTCTTTTTTTTTCTTTTCAAAGCATTTAAAAAAAGGAAATACAGAAACATATCAGAGTATAGAAAAATTTTACAATTATGTTTTAATTTTTCCTTTTCTTTGTATTAGTATTGCAATAACTAATATTCATAATTACTTTGATAATAATGAAAAAAGTGATAATTGAGCTTAATTTATAACCAAAGGATAATTTGATGTCTATTTATAAATTCATTTAAATTTTAATGTAATCAGTTTTTGTTTTAAGTTCAAGAAACTAAAAAATGCTTTCGGGTAATATTAAAAAGAAAATGCCTTTGTGTAGGCAAATAAGTTTGTTTCCTCTTGTAATTAATTCATCATTTTCCATAAAAATTACTTATCACTTCACAAATTTTAAAGAATCATATATATATATATATATAAATATATATATATATATATAATGTTAATAGGGCTTAGGTTTGGTAAAAAAGGGATACTATGAAATATTTGAATTTCAAATTAAAGTCTCGCTTATATGTTTAATTTAATTTTATATTAATTTTTTTATTATATATTAATTATTTATTTGATTTAATTTAATGACTTTGTATGTAGACATGATGTTTGATTATAATGATTTTTTTATTTCTAATTTCATAAAAATGAAAAAGGTGTACATATAGGTGTCTCAATGTATTAATTCAAAGATTTGAATTAAATTAAGAGGGGATGAATTGGTTGATAATAAATTTTTACAATTTTAATATTAATAAGCACAAAATTCACAAATCAATTTTTTAAACAAATAAACACAACAAATATGAGTATTAATAATCTTACAAGCAAAAGATAAAAATAAAAAAATTAAACACTGAAATTTATAAAGGTTCGATCTTTTTTTTAGGTACTTACGTCATTTCTCTTAGTCTTACTTGTCAAAGAGTTTAATCTATTATGTGTTGAATGTTACAACATAACTCTTTAAAGCTCTATACAATCAACAACAAAATCTTTTAAGGGTTATTATCTTTCTTAAGCTCATAACCTCATAATACAAATTTTAAAGTATTTTGCAAACTCAGAAAACCTTTCTAAGATTTGGTGTTTGTTACTTTGAAATACAAATTAAGATTAAGAAAAATATTAAAAGAAAATCATATACAAAAAAAATATTAAAAGAAAATCATCTACAACAAGAATTTATGTACTTTTTTCACATTAAAATGCTCTTTAATGCTTGAAAAAGATGGTAAATGGAAGCAATAAATTTTCTTGGCTCTAAATACCTTTAAATATGGTGAAAGACCTTCATTTATATGTTGAAAGTGGAAGACGATTGTTGCCTACATTAATTGTTTAAAGCTTCTGCAAAATTTTAAATAAAAATAGCTGTTGCAAGCATTCTAGGCAAAAAGGGAACAATCCCCTCATATGGGGGGATCGATTAGGTTAGTTAAAATTCAAACAGTTTCATGCATGTAAACCAATTGATCCTTTTTTCAGGTAATCGATCTCGTAGTCTGGGTGATCACTCTTATTGAAGGTTGGAACCAAAATTTTAATTTGTGTAAAAACCAATTGATCCATTCATGAAGGAATCGATCTTGTCTTTAAAATCCTAGAACCAATCGATCCATACAAGAGGGGATCAATTGGTTTTCATGAAATTGGCACGAAACTCTTTTCTAGCCAAAAAAATCAATCAATCCCCTTGAGGGGAGATCAATCCCTTTTATGCTACTTTGCCCAATTTTGCTTTTAAACCATGCCAAATGAATTAAACATATTTTTTACTAGATAAAAAGCTGAAAAAAATTCAAATTAAGTTCAAATCATTTTAATTCAATTTTAACAAATTTTTGTTTTGTAATTTCAAAATATTTTATCAATTCAAAGCTAACAATCTCTCCTCTTTTTGATATGATAAAACCAATAGTTAAAATTAGCTTTGAAAATATTTTTCTCTTTTAAAAAATAAACTCCCCTAAATTTAAGCAAGATCAACAAAATTAAAGGGTCATTTTTCATTATAGACGAAACAAATATACAAGGTAGAGATCTCTTAAGCAACATAACAATTTAGCAACAACTTTTCACTAGCAAACTAATTTAGCAACATCTTTTCACTAGCAAATTTTCACAATAAACAAACTAACTTTTTCCCTTTTTTGTCATAACAAAAAAAATCCAACAACAAAGCAATAATACTATTAACAATATAAGATCAACTTGCTCAATCAATTCAAGGCAACAATACTATAATCAACATAAGGCCAATATCATTGAGTCTCAATACTATAGCTCAACATAGCATCATAATATCAAGAATGAAAATAATCACAATAGCACTTTCATAGCAACATACTCATGTACAATAAACTTTGAATCTCAAAACCATACAAGCAAGCAAAGAAAAATTCATGCCATTAAAGTTCATTCCATTATATGCAAAGTACAAAAGTTGATACTACAATAAATTATCTTAAAGAAAATTAAAAACTTAAAAAGATAAAAAAAAAATGTAGAAAAAACATTTAGGCTTGGCTAAAACGATAGATCAAGGTGAATGAGGAAAATAATGAAAATGTTACTCCATTTGCTCGTGTAGTATGGATTTGTCCAATATGAGTCCTAACTTGTTGAACTTGTGAAACCATCTCATTTTAAGTTAATTCAATGTTTTTCAATCTAGAGTTCATATCCTCAACCAATGAGTGTAAATTGTTCATTTAAGTCATAAAAATTTACAAAAGTTCCTTGGATATCAAATGGTGGACTAAAAGGATTTTCTTGGAGAATATCTTGTGAAACTTCTTGTGGAATGTCGTGAACCTTATGCTCTTCTTCATGTTTAATTTCAAGTTCACTTTTCTTAATCCATAGCCCAGTAACATTTTAAGTGTATCATATACTATAAAGTGTATAAACTCCAATAATATTAGCAGAATCGAACACATTTTCTCTATCACTTCTAGTATTGATACCAAACATTCAAAGTAAATTGCTAATGGCTATTTCATTACTAAAGTACAGTCTTTGTTTTGAACAACCCTCATCATATCAGTAAAAATAAAGTACAAAAGATTGAATTTTTTCTCATGTTTGATTTTATACATCCACCAATAATTTTGCTTCTTAATAGTGAAGTATTGGATTTCAAATGGTACTAACACATGTGTGACAATGAAATAAAGCAATTTATCATGCATATTCAATTTAAAAGCCTGAGTTTGAACAACCCTTAAATCATCATTTCAAAAATATCTTGGACCAATATAAGCATATCACATCTAGTGTTTGTGTCTCCATTATCTTTTAACATAAAAGTTTCAGTCAATAAGTTCTTGTCCACAATTATTTCTTTACCCATCACAAATGTCTTAAATTTATCAGTATAATACCTATTTCCATGTCCATCAACTTCAATACAGGTTGTATTACTTTAAAATACCCTTACCAGATTCTCAAAGATAATACCATCCAAACTAAAATAGTTCATCCAACCAAAATTCTTACAAACGTGTAAGTATGGAAATTCAATGGATTGGAGGAAATTAAGATTGATTACCCTTACTTGCTTGACTTCTTTATGAGCAAAATGAGTCTCATATCTCTCATTTACTTGTAGGATTGTCAAAATTTTGGTTGAAAGATGACTTGATTGATGAATTAGAGGCTTTCCTTAGTGGATTTCTCCTTATGGTAAGAGAGGGTCTTATTTTAGGTGCCATGAAAAAAAATGAAATAATGAAAATAGATAGGCTTATGAGAAATTGATGAAAAAATTTGTGAATGTAGGCGACAAGTAGTACTATATGTATGACAGAGATAAAAAAATTGAGTGAATAAGGTAGTTTCAATTGAGGCACAAAAGGGGATCAAATTTTTAGATAAAGAAACATGAGTGAAGTTTTTTATGTGATTTGAAGAATTTTTAAGAAGAGTTTGCAAAAAATCAAATAGATATGAAGTAATTGGCAAAATATTTTAGTTGAAAGTGACTAATTTTGAGAGAATATGAAACATGAATAACTAGGGTTTTAGGAAAAAAATTTTAAGAAGAAAGAGAAACTATGGTCGGCCAAGGAAGAATAAAGAAAGGTCTAAATTTTTAAGAGGTCAAAACGATTCACATTAGGGAGACCATTCATGACCCGATAGATTATGTAGCAAGGGGATTGATCAAGTAAGTACTTTGTGACACTCCTGAGCAAGCCATGGACAAATCGATTAGGTTTAAAGGGATCGATTGGGCCTTTGTGTTTCAATTTCAATTTGACTACTGGAAGAAAAATCAATCGATCCAGTTTTTCTAGGATCGATAAATTCATTTATAGTAAAGCAAAAAAAAATTTTAAGATTTTTTTTTAATATGCATGTAATATAACTATTCAAATATGCATCATATAATTACAAATATAATCATAGATAAGATTTCAAAAGTATATCAAGATAAACACACATTTGGTCAAACAAGACATAAATATATCAATTTATCAAGAATTTCATTTCAAAAAGCATTCATTATACTAAGTTCAACTTTAATTGTATAAAATCTATCTCTATCAAGAAGTTTTGTAAAAATAGCAACTAATTGATGTAAGATATCAATATATCCAAGCACAATATCACCTTTTTGAACATAATCTCCAATGAAATGATGCCTAATTTTAGTATGCTTAGTTCTTGAATGTTGAATTAAATTTTTGGTAAGATTAATGAAACTGGTATTATCACATTTAATGAGAATGTGATCCATGATAATTTTAATTGTTGTTTAAACTACAAAATTTGAGCACAACAATTACCGACCGCTACATATTCAGCTTTGGTTGTGGATTGAGTAACACTATTTTGTTTCTTGAAAAACCATGATATGAGCATATTCTCAAACAATTGACAAGTATCGAAAGTGTTCTTTCTATTAATTTTACAACCACCAAAATGCACATCAAAATAAGTATACAAAGTAAAAGATGAAC